CAAGCATCTAGTTTATTAGTTGGTTTGAAACAAGGATGAAGAAAACAATTTCATTTCTTTTAGTAGCAATAATTTTCTACACAAATGCAAACTCACTGGCCACATAAGCATGGTGCTTGGATGGACATAACTCTCCAAACAAATCTACAAAATAAAACACACGAATCAAACTCAAAGATCATCACATAAATGTAATTCGCTTGTATGGTGACACTTTTTATATATGAATACCTAAAGGTTACCGATTAGCATATCAGGAACTTGAACAAATGGAAAGTCTTCAATGATATATAATGCTTGCCACCATAAACCATGCATGCCTGTAACCGCTGATAAATCAACCTCCATCCCTAAAGTCAAGACGCGAAAACCAGGATCCCAAAGTAAATTAGAGTCAGTAATGTCTACAAAGCAACACTCTGCTTGAAAACAAAGACCACCACCAATTGGCAATGCGCACAATAATCCCAGGGGGACTACCACCAATCTAAAAATGATAATTTTATCTGGTCTCAGGCATCTAGTGTGCTTGCGGAAGTCGTCCATGAATCGCTAAGCTGTTTATGGTGGATTTGTAACAACCTATACAATGTTCCTTTAGATCACAGTGCACCAAATGTTTGCCAACACACTTTCTAGCACACTTATTCAAATTGAAATCTGCTTCTGCTTGCACTTCTCCCCTAAGTGGATACTAACAGTTCTAAGAGGATAAAACACACATATAGTTGGCTCTAATTACATCCTCTGAAAGATGCAAGCAGCTAGCGTACCTTAGTCCACAGTTGTCCTAGAACTGGGTCACAAGTTCTTGAGTTAACTGGATCAGTGAGAAAATTAATTTGAGTCATTGGTCAACATGTGATCCTGCTAAATACGAACTGGAACAGTTGAGGATCCCAGTGAAACACGACCATATATATACATCCCTGCAAAATCTGTACAAACTGTAGTTAGCGGCGGGTGGCACTATGTACTGTGTGAACAAATAAAGAATCAACCTGTTCCAATGTTGCATGAAACGTGTTTCGGTTTGTAGTTTAAGAAAAAGGGTAAGCAAACAGAGTTGCATCACGTCAAAGAAAATCTGTGTAGCCCACACCATGTACATTAAAACACACGCTTGTAAGTTGTAACCTAAAACTGCCGAGAGAGACGATCATACAAGAAGACGAACTGATCTTTCTCTTCTCTTATAGAATCTGTATAAACTCAGTGGAGAGCAAAACGTTTATAAATAGCATCATCTAGCTTCTCACCCTCTTGGAGGCATGCCTTTGATATAATTAGCATTCAAAAATAAATGAAATTATAAAAAGCGAGGCCTTATTCTATTTTTGTATTTTTGGTTTCTGAAGCTAACTACAAAAGATGCAAATGGTGGAAGAAGCAAATGGAAAGAATACTTAGCTTTTCTTCTTATACTTGTTCCTTGTTGGTTAGTCATTTCATTGGTAAATGTTGTGATTCTCAATGTTTAATACCTCTATATGGAGTTGTCAAGTTGTACCAACAGCAGCCACGCATATAAGCATATACATACTTTAAACGCACTGGACCCGTGGTAATCCATATATGAGTTATCTTGCACCCATGGACCATGGTATCCTGCCTAGTTCAGAAACTCACTACAGAGAAAGATGTTTAGCTTCTTAAGACTGCACATGGCATTATTCTAAGTAACGTATATGTATTTCTCCATGAGAAGAAAAAAGAGAGAGAGATCAATTAGCATTAATCATGGAGCAACCAAACTGAAAAGTATCGGCAGAACACCTTCATATAAATGATTCGTTCTTCAAGAGACTGGAAATACACATCTCCAGCTCCATCACCTTGTAGAGCTTTGTATTCCTCCTCCGAGGACTTCGTATCCATCTCCTGTAATGCAGCCTACAGGCACCAGAATGAAACAGCACACATTGAGAATGACTTGATAACAGAATGATATTTTCAGTTAAGAAACATACTGAACTTACAGGGAAGCTAGCAGTCATGTTGCTCTCTTGCTCAAGGGTCTGCTTACACTGCAAAGTTAATATTTTTTTAGTTTGACTAAAACAGCAATTGCGACTGCTTGGCATATCTAGGCCATAAGAGTCCAGAATTAGAATAGTTCACTGATTTGTAAGAGGAGCCGTGATCCTTTTGCTTTGATATCTAGTTGCTTATTTCCAACATCAGATTCCTGTTTATTACTTAGTGATCGACACATGACAGGTTGGATGTTCCTTTGCTACATGAGGAGAATGGGAAGCATGGAATACCTTGTGTATGCTCCCTCTAAGTTGAGAATTTCATACCTCTTCCCTAAAATAACAAAACAGATCAATATTCAGGTGAACCTATTAATTACAGTTTCATAATTTGACAAAAAAAAAATCCTATTTATGTTATCCAATGTTGCATTTGGAGAAGTTAAAAGTTAAGATGATATCTAGAATGGTGCAGACCTGATAGTAAGCTAATAGTTATCAACGACAGGCCATAATACAGGATAAACCAGACCATTTTATTTTCCAGGTAAGTGCCCACCTTCCCAATAAAATCAGCTAAATATAGCGCACCGCAGCTCAACCGAGTTACGTCAACTGCTGAGTCCAGGGCATTCTCCATAGGCAGCTTCTGCCCGTACTTGCGCCACGAGAAGTCGCCTGCGGGGATCTCCGCCGCCTTCGAGCTGATTGCCGGCATGCGAGTCATCCGCCGAACCTGGGACTTCCTGCCGGTTCCATTCATTCAATCTTTAGCAACATGGATAACACCGGCAGACGAAGAACGGAACAACGAAATCCCATCCCTGGGTGAATCGAATCTGCTAGACTACTAACCGCGCTTGGAGCAGTGGCAGCGGCCACCGGAGGCGCCGTACTTTCCGCCGGCGACGTTCTCGGAGTGCGCGTGGTCGTGGCACTTGCGCTTCTGCCCGCCACCGGCGCCGGTGGATGCCGCGGAGGACACCAGCGGCGGCTTCCCGCAGCTGGCCGAAGGTCTTCTTCTCCCCTCCTCCTTGCCCTTGCCCTTGGCCTCCACCGATCTGGAGAGGTGACCCGCGGCGCCCACGCCTCCGGCAACCGTGGCACGAATCCGCGGAGGCACATGCACACCCGGCGACGCCCTTCCTCTCTGGCCGCTTCCTTCACAGCGGGAGGATGGCCTGGGCGAGCGGCGGCGGCGGCGGCCGGCGGGCGCGGGCCTAGGGTTTGGACGGGGGAAGGGAGAGAGGTGAGGCGGGGGAAGAGGAGAGGGGTTCGCCCGAGTGGGGAGGCGGGTGGCGGCGGCGGCGATGTGGCTGCGGGAGGCGGGGGGAGGAGAGGAGGCGCGCGGGGGGAGGGAGGCGGCTGCGGGAGGGAGGGAGAGAGGAGGAGGCGTGCGGGAGAAAGCGGCGGCACCTAGGTCTCCGCCACAGGAGCGCGACCCCATTTTATACCCCCTAGGCGAAATGACCAAAATGCCCTGGTGGGGGCATGGTATTTACAATGTGTTGCCATTACTATTCATTCCAGCAGTGTTTTTTCCGGATCCGACGGCCCAGATCCTCCCACCTCTTGATCAAACGGACGAAAGTATCAAGAGATCGCATCCAACGGCTGAGAGTCACTGAGCTCTGAGGAGGCTTGTCCATCCCTCCTTCTCTTATTTCTGGATATCAAACCATGCATGCATGCATGCTCCTGCTGCTTGCGTGTCACCGGTGGATGGCACGGTACGGCGTACCCATCCAGCCCCTGGGCAGGCAGACGACACCCGTCCAAACTCCAAAGCGTACGACCCGTCGACAGCGGCTTGTCACTTGCACAGTGCGCCGATGATCGATGGAGCCAGAGCTGGCGCTCTCGCGAGGGGAGCCCAGCCACATCATCGATCCATGCACGCTACGTTTTCCTCCTCTAGATTTTGGTTTTGTACGCATTGGCATTGGCATTGGCATTACACCCAATCATTCAATAAGCGAGCCATCAAGCGGATCATGATTCTTGGCAATGATGATGTGCGTAGAAGCACACCACGGCACACGAGACGAGAGACAAGAACGGCGGCAACGGCGAGCCAATCTGATACTCATCTGCATGGATATCATCATACGGGCCGGGAGGGAGGTGAGACGTGGCTACAGCGGCGAGTCAAGGGGACATGCAACATGCACGGCGGCCCCTCTCTCCCACGTGTTGCTCTGCACCACCGGAGGTGGAAATGAGGGTAAAACGAGAAAGTAAACATATTGTTGCTGGTAAAAAAAAAGAACAAGCTTGGGTTTCTATGGACTGTTGAACTGAAATTCACCTGTTTTAAGACTATATAAGCCACTGCCTAGCCGTTTAGCCGGTACAGCGTAAACATATGAAATGAGCAATATACTATGCTGGTACAGCGTGAACATGCAACTTTAAATTCCGGTAGGACAGGACATAGTAGGAGTGTACAAATCTGTCCAAGCAGGGAAAAGATACACTGCATGATACACCATTCAAATCACGAGTTACAAAAAAAAAAGCAGACCAAACTAATTATGCATGGTCTACACAGAAGCTTTACCAGAAGAAACGGCAAAGTTACAGGGAGGATTTGAGAAAACAGTCCCGTGTTCCAAACACTGGTCGAAACGTATAAACTTTACTGCAAGAGTTTCAGCAGAAACAGCTCAGTTTCAGTTCAGCTGAGCAATCAATCCAGCGTTGCAAACAGTGCTCCAGAAGCCCATTTTTTATGGCGGTCGATCGAACGGCTGGCGAGGGCATGCTGCCATGTGACTGACGGAGCATGGGCATCTTTCTCGTCTCAGACACGAGGGCGCGCGCGGCTCCCAACCCAATCATAAAGTCGTCAGCCTCGTAAAAGTTTTCGCCTTTCTTCCTTCGATCTTCCCATCCCACCTCGCGCTGCTCTGCCGACCGCCCCCACCTCTCCACTCCTCTCCTCCTCCCGCGACCGCGAGGCCACGCCATGAACGAACCCGCAGCGTAGGCATAGCCCAGCGCAGCGGAGGCCGTGAACCAACCATGGGCCGTGCGAGGGCCAAGGACGCCGGCTACGGCGGCGTCAAGTCGTTCCCGTCGCCGGCCTCGTCCTCGGCGTCGTCGTCAGAGTTCGAGTTCACGGTGACGCAGTCGCCGGGGTCCAAGCAGCGGTCGGCGGCGCAGCTGTGCCCCGCCGACGACCTGTTCTACAAGGGCCAGCTCCTGCCGCTGCACCTGTCGCCGCGCATCTCCATGGTGCGCACGCTGCTGCTCGCGTCGGCGTCCACCTCGTCCGCCTCCGCCTCCGACTCCACCTCCACCTCCAACTCCTCCCGCGACTCCAACGGCAGCACCTCCTCCTCCTTCTCCACCGACTGCGCCGCGCTCCTGCTGCCGGACTCCGCCCCCTCGTCCTCCCGCCCCAGCTCCGCCACCGACGACGACCGCCACCTCAACCTGCTCCGGGGAACCGCCTCCTACGCCGGGCTCCCGCCAGCCAAGCGCACCGGCAAGCAGTACCTCTCGTCCTTCGCCACCCGCTTCTCCTCGGTCTTCCTCCACCGCGGCGGTGCGCCGGCCGCCAAGAAGCCGTCCAACAAGTCGCTCGCCAAGGAGGTGATCAAGAAGTACGCCAAGAAGGTGAAGCCTCTGTACGAGAAGCTGTCCCAGATCCCCAAGAACCAGAACAACGGCGGCAGCAACCAGCCTCAGCCGCAGCCCCCGGCGCAGCAGCAGCAGTGTTTTAAGAAGCCGTTCAGTTTCTCGATCCGGAAGAAGCGGGGCGACGAAGACAACGCTGCCGCATCCGCAGCGGCGGCAGCGGCGGAGGTGAGCACCTGCAAGTACGCGCACTCAAACTCGTTCTCCGGTAACCTCCGGTTCCCGCGTCAGAAGCGGTGCGCGGCGAGCTGCCCGTCGTCGATGCGGTCGTCGCCGAACCACTCCGGGATGCTCTCCTTCGGCGGAGCGGGCGGCGTGGGCTTCCCCGACGTGCCGGCCGCAGCAGCGGCGGCCATGACAAGCAGCATTGGCATGCGGCCCGTGTCGCTGTCGGCGGCGTCGTCGTCTTCGATGGAGGAGCTCCAGAGCGCCATCGAGGGCGCTATCGCGCACTGCAAGAACACAATGGGCGGCGTCGTGTCCCTGTGCCCGCGCAAGGTGCCGGCGGCGACGGCGGCCGGCGAGATCAGCGCGTTCTGAGCGCGCCGGTGCATGCATGCATGCACTAGGATTCGTGCGGGGAGCTAAGTAAGGCTGATTAATCAGTGGTATCCATCCATGTGTTAATTTTTGTTCGTTTGATTAGCTTTGTGTCCTTTGGGCAAGACTTTAAGATGATGTTGGTAAATAAGGGTAGTTCGAAGGGGTGAAATGAGACTCTAATCCTTCCTTTGGACGTCTCTTCTCCCGTAGTGTGAAATTTGCATCGGCGGCCTCCAAATATTGCGTCTAAAATCCGAATACGTCAAACCCATCTAAGAAGCGTAAAAGTTGCAGGAAATGTTATAAGATAGGTTGGGTGTATTTCAGTGAAAATGTCATAGAGAGTCTTAAGTTGGGTATTTCAGTGAAAACATCCTAGAGTCTTAAGTTGGATATTTGGGTGAAAATGTCATCTGCTGGATGGGCTCTGCATTGTAGAATTTGCCAAATGAAATCCATAGATTTGAGAAGTGGGGGGTTTGCTACCATTCTAATGCCATCAAGTTTAGAATATAAAATCTGCCAACTTAAATTTGTGATGGAGGTGCCGATGCAAATACTTGATGCTCCGGAGAAGAGGTGTGCAGAATCCTTTGTTAACTAGACCGGGATATACCCTTCCAAAAAAAAGGTTAGGAGTGGGATTTTGGTCTAACGCTGTGGCCGTCTCAGCTAGTGGTGTCAAATTTTGTTTTGTAATGCTGTCTCAAGACAAGTGTTTATTCAGCTAATCCTAATATAGTTTGGCTCCTGTACTACAGATTTGGTGTATGATTAGTATTGCTTCCCGAAAATATTGCTATGATTTTGTTCCCCCTCTTTCCATGTGCTCATACTTTTTGTAAATTTGCTTGAAAAGTTATACTAGTAGAAGCTGACAATGAGCCATTAGTGATCAATCATAAGCACTTTTCATCAGCTCTAACGTACACCTAATGAAGCAACTAGTATTAAATCCTCGCTGATCCTACATTAGGCCGTTGTAGCTTCTCGTGGGAGGAGATGAGCTTGAGCAGCAGTGGATCTCTCGGAGCAGGCGGCACAAGAAGTTAAAAGTGGTTGCAACGACGATTGCCTCGCTAGATCTGGGTCTCCACGTAGTAGGACATGTCCTTCCACATGTGCGTGGTGGCAATTATACCGTGGTCGAAGATGATGACCTGTTTGCGACTGGTTGCGGATCCTTCTGCTACAGGGGTCTTCTCTCAAGATTCAGGGATGATGACACAGAACTCCGGAGATCTTCTTGTGTTATGGTTGTCTTAGGGTATTATAGGTGTTCATGTTCCTTTGTTTTTGCGTTTCAGTGTGCTTGTAAGGGTCACCTACTCTGTACTGATTCGTGATTTGAATGAACAATTTCTCAAAAAAAAAAGTCAGATCTTAGCTTGAGATTAGACAAGGCATGTTTGACTGTCTCTGTTGAAGCTAAGATAGATAGATAGATAGATAGATAGGTGAGGAATCTTTGGAGGGGTCATTCAACAACCGGGACGACGACACATGATTAACTTTCCTGCCTACGCTTGCCGTCCTCTCATCATACTGCTTAATAAACTAGTAGCACAAATTGGTTAGGGTGTGACATTGACAGGTTAAGCCACAGTAGACAAAGCTACTCTACTGTAGTGGTGGTACATGAAAGATCACGTTCAAGGCAGTGTGCAATTTAATCATCTGCCATTAGATGCTATACAACTGATGCGGTTAGCTGGACTGGCCAGGATTGGTTAGTAGTAGGAAGAAATATACAAGTCCTTGTGGTCATGGTTATTGTTAGGTGTCATGTTAGTGTGAAGAAATTACAGAGCCTGGCTTTGGTTAACGCTAACCCCATGTTGCTGTGAGCAGTGAGGCAGAGAGATTCCTCCTGTTGCGCGTGGAGACGCCGTTGCCGAGGCGAGGTGCCACATGCGAGCAGCTGGCCGGCCGTCGTGCCCGAGGAGTCGAGGACGTAGAGTGAATAGGATTTATTGGATTGGAGTACCTCAGTAGATGCACGTTGACGTTTGAACAGTATAAGGTTGAGAACGACGCGTCAACATTCATTTCAGCGAAAGGAACCACTGAAATTTGCCGTGCAAGGAAACTCGACTCGGACAGATTTCGTCCCAACTTAACCCCAGTACTCGTACTTACACTACAGCTTGTGCAAGAAGTCGTGACTGATCGCCAAGAACTGATGGACTACTTAGCATTGATACAAGATCGTCCTTCTGTATGTTATATGTGTAGGGTTTTCTTTGAACATAGTTATACTAAAAGGGTACGTGCGCCGTTCTATTTTTCTACCGTTTATTTGTTTGATTGTTAATTCACAAATAAATTTCTTGCCGCTCAATTTGCGGGTTGGGGTCGTTGTTTATTTCATGGGCCTTTCGTGTTTTGGCTTCCATAATTTTGGTGTCAGAACATGTCTAGTTGCTAGGACACGTCATCATTTACTTGGTAGGATATTACTCAGTTTTTTTACAACTATTGTTCTTCGCAAAAATGATATGTTAGCAACACTACCAAAAACGTATCCAAAGTAGTGGTTGGCGTCAAACATGTCACTGACCTGCAGGGTTAAACCATAATACTGAATGAACATGATAATGTAAATCTGCAAAACTAATTCAAAACTTTGATATGCATAACTGAGACTTGTGATTGTAGTATCATCTACAACAATCATACAACTTTATAATTTGACCAACCAATATTTCATAACTTACCTTGATCACAGACAAATAATACAAAACACCAACAACAATGGTCTGCAATAATGGTAAAAGGAAAGTGAAAGTAAGAAATACTTGGAAGTTGCAACAAATCACCAAAGTATATGGCTTTTGGTTTTCAATATTGATCATTCATATGCGTAGTTAGAATCAAAATAGAAAGAACATATTTGAAATAAAAGTAATGATTTGCATAGACTAAGGGAATGAAGCATGTTTATAGCGGCTTCTAAGAGGAAGAGGTGGAAATGGGAGGATATAGAGAGATAATAGTACAAGTGATTGATCTCAATTTTCATTTGAATGTAATATTATTGATGCATTAATAAGGTCTGATTAGGTGTGTACATAAGTGACCCAGTGACAATTAAGCAAATTATCTTCACAAAAAAACCTAGTTATCATTAGTTGTGTACATAACTGACCCAAAGACCATGCTCCTTAGGCGTGGAACGATATGCTAATTAATACTCCCTCCGTTCTAAAATATAGTACATACTTTGTTTTGAAAAGTCAAATGTACCAATGTTTGACCAAGTTAAAAAAAAACAACATCCACATGTACCGTTATAGTTTATTTATTTAGTACTTCAGATATTGATAGTTTATTTTAGAAACTTGGTCAAATGGACATCTTTGACTTTTGAAATACTAATACGCACTACATTATGGAACAGAGGCATCATACAACATGTCATGTATAAACTGTGTGAGGTTGTTAATCCACAAGCATGGAGGTGTACTCAAGCAATGAAACATGAGGCTTTTAAATTGAAGCCTTACACAATGAGATAAAATCCCGGTATAATCTGCTACTTGTTTAGCACCGAAGCGAGCGAGATTGAATTTGAATCAGGCTGCCAAAGAAAGGATGACAGAGGGAGAGGAAGGAGGTATCGGGAGTGGTACTGCAGACCTTGTGGGCCATGGCGTGTTGATGAAGGTGACCAAGTTCTAAAGACGACAGTCGTCTCCAAGCCCCGAGCGTCGTTGTCGTTGGACGTTAACTACCGCACAAAAGAAGGGGAGAAAGATGGAGGGATGGGCCGGGTGTGCGGCATGGTGGTGGACAGGCAAAGCCCGTGCAGCCTTGTGGTGCGGAGGAGGCAGTGTGGGACGGGCGCCCGTGCAACCGTGTGGTGCGGATGAGGCGGTGATGGACTGGCGGTGTCGTGCAATCATATGATGCAGAGGAGCAGGTGATGGGTCGGGTGCCTGTGCAACCATGTGGTGAAGAGGAGGCGGTGATGGCTCAGGCATACCGCCATGACAGAAGGGGAGAAAGATAGAGAGATGGGCGGGGCATGCAGCGTGGTGGTGGATTGACGACGCCCATGCAGCCATGTGACATAGAGGGGGCGGTAACCGTGCCGCTATGCGATGATACATCACTTCGATGTACATGAGCGACATGTAAACCTTTTTCTTCTTGCAAAAAAGTAGTCCCTCTGATCTACAAGAAACGTTGTGGTTTTAGGTCAGGGAGTAAGTGACACGTAACACATCAAGTGTTGAACACACGTAGTTGGATGGTTGGCCCAGACAGTAAACAATATGTATTGTTGGATGGTTAGATGGGCATTGCTATACCTCCCACCAGAGTCCCAAACTTTACATTGGTGCTCGCATTTTTTTGGATTTATTTCAGGCCTTTCGGCGGTGTGCATAAGTGGGAGGAGACATTCCTACCAACTACGAATGCTCTGTGCGACTTCGTCAATCTTAAGATGATGTGCCGTCTCAGTCTCTCAGAAATGCTCATAGGGGTAAGGTGCGCATGGGTGCATTCATAGGGGGTGAGTATGTGATCGTGTATGTGAGTGAGTTCGATTATACCGCGATCAAGATAAATAATACTTTCTCCGTTCAAAAATACTTGTCGGAGAAATACATAAAAATGAATGTATTTACAATTAAAATACATGGTTAAATCTAAGTGGTTCTTTAAAGAAGAATAAGCGACATGCTCACTTGACCCTCTCAGCTCTAGAGCGCTCACAGCCCTTACATTTACATTCAAGGGAACTTAGATATTGTAGTGATGTGTAGGTTGCTACTAGACGACTTGAATGATTATGTAGTTTCTCTATTCCACGTTCCGTAGACGGCAACCGAATTTCAACGGTACCACTAGCTATGCGCGGAGGCATTCTGTGAACCCTTTTTCTTTTTCTTTTTGAGAATCTGTGAACGCTTGTTAAACCATCCGATCCGACTAGGGGCGGGCTCACTGATTCAACGCCTCGGTGCACCTAAGTTAGTGGGAGTTAAGGT